CTGGTGTTGTCCCCCGCAGGGCCATGGCCGTTTCTTTTTCTAAAGCTCAACATTTTGATACCCAAAGGTTAGTTGTGATTATAGTTGGTTAAATGAATTTTCAGTATCAAATGGTCAATTAGCTACGACAAGGTTAATGGTTGAGAATTTCATAGTTGCTCCTTCCTGGTCCTCCGAACATGTTGTGTGAGACACCGCAGTGTGCAGCTCAGTAACGAATGCCTGCAGACTTGATGGCTTTGATGGAAATGCCCGCACCATCGCAGGTGACCCTTGGAAACCAAGGTGACCACTGTGTGCAGATGCCCCAGGGTTACACCACATGCAGAGCCTGCCGTGTCGATAGCTTCGGGGAGGAGAACTGCATTCATAATCTGCCCGTAATCTGCCATCAGCACCAGACTGGTTGCTATAGTAACCGTAGTGAGAAGAAAGCAGACACGTTTGTGGATAAAAGCCCATCCTCCTCCTTTCTGAATGTGGGAGACAAGTTACATGTGTGATAGCGATCTAGCCCAAGCAGTTCGGAGAGCAACATTGAAATCTAAATCCTCCAAACGCTGAGCTTGAGATGAAGACCTCATTTCCAGGAGCTAAAGGTCCACTTGTGACTATGAGGGAGCACATTTACAGGCCCCTCCTTTTGATTCTTGGTCGGTTTTGTTACATGAGAAGCCCCATCACAAGCACAGCTGTTACTCGGCAGCTCAGATCCACTTTACAGGGAAATGCCATGTTACAGCATCTATTTCCTAAATCATCTAACTGGTCACAAATTATCCCAAAGATATTTCCAGCTGCCTTCCATACACTGCTGCAGAAAATATTGTCTTACTTCCCCTGTAAGCTCTCCGAAAAGGTGATTTGCAGTTGTATCAGAGGACCTGCAGCCAAGCCACAGATGAGCCTCCTGTTTAATCTTCAATAACCATTTGCTATTGCAGGCCTATTATGCGATCTTCCTGAACAAAGGCCGCCTGGAAGTGCATCTCTCCATGGGAGCACGAACAATGAGGAAAATCGTCATCAAACCAGAGCCGAGACTGTTCCACGACGGGAGAGAACATTCCGTTCATGTCGCCAGAACGAGAAGGTAACAATGGCTCTTGAGTAATCACTTTTAAACAACCTACAAACTAACCCTGGCATTAGGCTCTCCCCGAACCTTTGTGTGTGCTGGCAGGTGTATTAGGCATTGCAAACCCACAGAGCAGCTGGCTTTCCTTCCCTTTGCGTTGTGTACTCCAGGGATTTCACCTGCCTTGGCTCTTGGAAGATCTGCGAAGAGCCTTCCTATTTAGTTCGCTGCCCTTCCCCACCTATGGAAAACACCAGCCGCATCTTCTGAAGCTGCGGATAACAAAGGCCCCCTCAGCTCTCTCTGGACTCTCCGCTCCTCAGATAGGTGTACACAGACCGGAGCTCACAGAGCAGGTCCGTGGGACCCGGCAGCCTTTGCAGCTGCTACTTCATTTAGGATCCCGTGCGGGGATGGCAGCTGCTTGAAACCCTGTCACAGTAAAGAGCGTGGCAGCAGCTGCAGGACCCACTGAGCCCCGCTAGGTGCATGCAGCTGGCTGGCCTCCTCCCTGGCCCGCTCCCCAAAGTGTGCCAGGGCCCGGAGTGGGAGTCACAGCACTAGGGAATCAAGGGAGCCAAGATTAGAGTGATGCCCTGTGGTCTGTGAGTGCAGGGTACCTTTCCACAGATCCACGTGAGCCACTGCCTCAGGGAATTGGCCATAATCATGTCTAACCTGATTTCTTCTTTCTTCACAACGTCGCGGTATATGATACTTGCTTTATTGGGAAAGTCGTTTGAATTTTTCATCAAAATATTGTATGACAACTCAAAGAGGTAATTAGTTTAGAAGGACAATTAGAGAGAAAGAAAACAGAAACTCAGAGACTTTAGGGACTTCCGACTCCCAAACTAGTTATTCACTTTTTAGACTGAAGACTTAAAAAAAAAAAAAAAAAAAAAACCCTGAACATCAAATGTATTGAACCTCAAAACACAAAGAATACCTTTAAATATGAAAACAGTATAAACATGTAACAATACTTCAATAAGCAACTTCTGTTCTTCAGTTTAAAGACAGTTTCTAATTGTCCTCCTACAGGTTAGATGAACAGTGAGGTCTTTATCTTCTAAATCAATAGAAAAGATTTTCGTGGCTCATAGTCTGATTTTATAGACCAGTGTTTCCAATGTGGGCAGTGCTGCCCCTTGGAGGCACTGTAAAGATCCAGAGGGACTGCACAGGCAGATACCTACACTTTATCCTGGATTATGGACTCTAGTACAAAAGTCTTTCATTGCCACAGATGCGCTGAGTAAAAGTTTGTTTGCTTGTTTTCTTCCGAAAAGGCAAAATAAGTTTGGGAATCTATAATCCAGATGGTGAAGTTGTATGTTGAAACAATTCCAAGGACTCATATAAAGCCTCTACTGACATACATGTTTGGTGCCCATGATGAAGACTAATGAGGGATCAAAGCCTGGGCAGAGGACGTCGACTAATCTAAGAGCTAGATACTGCAGTCATGGTCTCTGAGGAGAAAGACATGCTGAAGTTTTCCTCATTTGAATCTTTGGAAATGGTGTAGGATACTGATTTTGCATTCCTTCTAGAATAGATTTTAAGGCATTTGGCAAATTTTATTCCTGATTATTGTGGGAAGAATTTTTAATGTCTTTATAATTTGATGATATTCAAAAGGCAAAGGAAGACTCTCAAAATTTATTTGACAAAAAACCATTCAACATGCAGAGTACTCTTGCAGTGAGAGCATTGGTAAATTCCCAATCGCATTCGGATGCTGTACTAAGGTGTCCTTTTAGCAGGTGTTTCTTTAAGAAGGACATTTTATTATGCCAGCTTCACAGCTGTTGGCCATCAATCCAACCCTTATTTGATTAAGCGATGTGTATAGTACATCACTGAAAACTGGTCATTCAGTTAATTGGCCATATAAACAAACAGTTTTGCCATTCACCATTAATTACAGGATAGTGTATTGGGCATATTAGTGTGGAGTCACGACCACTCTGTGCCAAAACCAGAACACATTTGCTACCGTAATGTCCCACTCAGTATTTTAAGGTCAAAAAGCAATCATTCTATACCCTTTAAACAAGTGCTACCATAAACTGGTTAGCCTGAGATCACTGATGACCTTTAGAATTCTCCCAGAAACATTTTTAATGTTTCAAAAGCCGACTTGTGGCATGTTGTCTATCAAATATTAAATTATGCCTGTAGCAATATGCTAGGATCACAGATGAGGAGCTCTTTACCAATATGCCCAAAGCGGCCTAGCTAGTGAAGAACCAAAGCAGGATTCAGCCCCTCCATCTATGTTCAGCCAATTCTTTATCCTTATCTTTTTATTGTGACTTCCACGACTTGAAATACTTTATACTGATTACAGAACTCTGATTAATTGAGGATACTTGCTTTCTCCCAAGACTTTTCAGACTACCAATGTTGATCATCACTTTTTCCCCTTCAAACCTTAGGTGAGGGAATCACTTTTAATATCACATAATAAAATCATTGGATTTTTACCCAAATCCAGATCAAACTTCTTACAATTGTTCTTGCTCTTCTCTCTGCCCATCTACCTTCATCTTAATCCTCTCTCCTTTTCTACTCCCCTTAATACTCAAAATCCGCACAATTAGTCACTCCAGCACATCATCTTCTGGTTCTTCCCTGACTCCTGATTTCTCTTTCTGGTTTGCGGTCTGTTGCTTCCTCTGCGTCCGTCTCTGGGGCAAGACATTTTTCCTGGGCTAACTGTCAGAGCCTGGAACTTAAGCAATCAGATCATAGATTGTTGGCATTCCCCTCTGGGAAAGCATTCTTCCCACAAGCCTTCCCACATTAGGAACAGAATTGGTGCTATGCCCTAATTGTTTAAAGTAGATTTTTTCATGGCCATTTTATAAATGAATGAAATGAGACTGAGTCAGATGAAATAACTTATCCCAGACCACACAGATAGTAAACTTCCAAGCCAGTCCTTAATCCCAACCCTTTCCTTTTTAAAAACCGATGATCAGTCTACATCCCCACCCTGTGATCTACTGTGAAAAGATCTCTATCATGGACCTTGGAGTAGACTCCGCCTGGAAGGAGTCTCTACTAGAAACGGGGGTTCTTGGCCTTTAAAAATGCTAATCAAGAGCAAAACTTTTCTCTCCTCAGATGAGTTTCATAATGCCTTGAGGGCCTCATTAAAATTCCTCAGAGTGTCTTTGTATCATGTTAGTAAGAGGTTGCTTTTCACAAAAGAGAAAACGGGGCTGTGGGTAGAAAGGACTTCTCAGTGAGTCACACATACTCGGAAGTCAGTCTTAACGTTCTTGCCTAACCACCAGCACTTTAGCTAAGGTCGAACGTAGGGTTAACACTTTTAATGTACAGTTGAACCTCCTGATTTTGGTATGCCCATCCTTCCAGAACACAGGAGAACACCACGGGCCAGTTGCCTCTACTTTCCCATTGATCAAAGTCTAACCTGCCTCTTTCTTGTGTACCGCCCGAACAGTACATCTGGGGCCATAGAGTCGTCTACCTTTGGTTCCAGTATCTTGCATCTGAGTGTCCAAAAGTGGGCCATTCCTTAGTGCCAATTCTGAGCATCTTCTCTCTAGCTTGTGTCTCATTCTGCATGTAGTTGTTCTTAAAAAAATCAAGCAAGATGTTGCTTCAGAGTGAAGTTTGTCACCCATAGGGATTGGTTTTCTCTGCAAGAAGGAAGTAAGTTCTCAGTAATCCATTCAGGATCCTTAGGCTTGTGACTAACACTCATGACTAATACATACATGCTGACTGTTAGTATTGAAACTCACGCTTTTAGTCATGTTCAACTTCAGAACTCTGTCTCCTTCTCATTCTTTGCCCCAGGAACCCCACGATTGTTGTGAATGAGTAGCATGAGGTTCTCCATTAGTAATGTGTGAGTTATCTCTGATAAGCAAATTAGGGGAACTGCCACTAAGGAAAATCATTTCAAGGAACAATTAGCATGGTTCATTCCTGCCTCTTCCATTCAAAAGCCAGCAGCTACATTCTTTATAAATGGCACTGTATGCGCTGCTGTTGATTCCTGCAATCTAAGCTCTCAGGAGTACTGTTTGTCCCCTAGCAAGAAGATAATAGCTAACACAAACCAAGAAATAAAGAGCCAAACAAAACGTGACCCCATGCTGTGAAAAACCCACTGAGCCTTTCAGAATTAGGCAGAACTACAGACTAGAAGTTTTAGCCCTTGCAAGCTGCCTAACACAGTTGTCAGCTCCCCCAGAGGCTAATGTCACAGCTACACCATTGCCTGACTGGAGGAACTCTTGGGGAGAGTTAACAAAGGAGACAGATGGACAAGAAACAATAGCATTTTCTCAGTGTAGAGAACGTTTTGGTCCACGCGAGGGGGGGGTGAGGGGACAGTAGGAAAGAGTCCTTTGATTTCCAAATTGTTGAACATATATATCCTATACCTTTTTATTTGTAATATTTAATCAGCATCTTTAGCATCCAAGTGGATGAAAATGGAAGGCATGTGCAGAACCTGACGATCGAACAAGCGATTGAAGTTAAAAAGTTATTTGTGGGAGGCGCTCCACTGGAATTTCAACCTCCCCCGCTCAGAAATATTCCTCCTTTCGAAGGCTGCATATGGAACTTGGTTATTAACTCTGTGTAAGTCTGTCTCCTGTTTTTTTCCTTTGGGTTTGAGGATCAAACAGGCTTTTGCACTGTCCAAAATTATATGGTAAAATAACTGAGAGTAGGGAATTGATGATCTTTGAGTTACATTTGTAAGATTATATGGATAGCCTTTTTACTATAAAAAATGGCAGAGGAGAGAACCTGATTTAATCATAAGGAAGCAAATCAATCAAAAACAAGATAAAATATTTTATTTTAATTATATTCCATTAGCCTTGTGGACTTTGCACGGCCTGTGTCCTTCAAAAATGCAGACATCGGTTACTGTGCAACGCAGAAGCTCCGTGAGGATGAAGATGGAGCAGTTCCTGATGAAATAGTCATCCACCCAGAGCCGTCGCCTGCACCCACCCACCCTGCGCTCCCTCCAGTCCTGGCGCATGTAAGTGTTGACAATCCCAGAGTATTCAGTTTTCCAGTCAGTGCTCTGGGTCATTTTCTGAAAGACAATCCAAAATCTCTAATATATCCATACAGCTAGAACTAGAACAAAGGGAAACAATTCTAGCAGTATGGATATGCCAGAAATATGAAAAACTATTCTGCTCATATCCTCCTTAAATTATTTTATTTATGTATCTGTTCTTCTTTAAGTTCTGCAGGCAAAATACTACATGTTTTCACTTGAAAAATTGGAATGCACAGAAACATCCAAACAGTCAATAAGACTAACCCCATCATGCTACCACGCAGAGACAGCCATACTGATTTTCAGTTATTATTATGTGAATTTTATATAATATAGCCATACTGCTGGGAATCCTGTTCTTAAATACTGGTAATTAATCATTAAGATCTTTGTAAACATCATGTAAGTGCCTGTGTATGTATGCATGTGTGTACACACACACGTTCATGGGATGGGAGACAGTATAGTCAGCCTGGGTTCCCATCCCAGCATTCTAACCTACTGTCTGCATGGAATTGGGGAAATCTATTTATTCTATCTAATCTTCAGTATCCTTATCTGTAAGATGAACATAGTAATGACACATGGGTCAAAAGAATTATTAGGAGGATGATAAGGCTTAAAAGAATTGAACCGATCATGCATTTCAATAGTGCAACATCTGGCACTATTACACAGCTTATTTACTCTGTAATAAAGATATTACTATTTTTAAATGCTTACACTGTGTCAATCACCATTTCCATACAACAGTATATTATGTATTATGTATGGGTATATGTTTTTTGCCATATGTATTCTAATAAGGACATGAATTAAATATGCATACTTTTTTTTTTTTTCAGAAACTCACTATAATAAGTGTCCTGATTTAGGTGAATCAACTAAGATTTAGCTAACTGAAGCAGCTGACTCACTCACTGAGGTGGTAAACAGTAGGGCAGGAATTTGAATGCATTGAATCAGATTCCAAAGTTTGACTTCTATCACTGCAACATTCTGCCTTCACATGTATTTTATCTCTTTCCCACGAGAGGCCGCTCAGATTGTTTCCAGGTTTTCTTTCCACTATGAGAGAATATGCTTGTTATCATTTCTGCTTCCAAAAATGCAAACTTGGTCGTTGAATCACTTCTAACTCAGCGTGACCCTGTAGGACAGGGTAGAACTGCTGCCCACTTTGGGTTTCTGAGACTTGAAATCTCTACAAGAGCAGACAGGCTCATCGTCCTACCTTGGGAGCGGCTGGTGACCTTCAACCACTGGCCTTGTGATTAGCAGCCCTGCGCCTAACCCACTACACCACTAGAGCTCCTGTCACGTCTGCTTATTTTCTTAAAAAGAGTCTTCGATAGAGAATTATGAGGCCAAAAGATTAACATGCTCAAGGGCCTCACTACATATACCTGCACTGCACTCTCCAGCTGTTACAACAATGTCCACCGCACTTAGCAGCAGTAGCAAGATTCACATACGCCACCAGTGAGTCACAAAGGGGCATCTCCCCACACTTGACAGCCCAGACTCCATGTTTATGACCCTTTCTAACTGACAGCAGGTGGGGTAGGGGCCATGCTGTCTTGAATGCAGGTTTTGAAGCCTCTTAAACATTTCACTTCTCCTTAGGGTCCATGATAGAATTGGTTGGATTAGAGAGCCATCGGTTTCTGGCCTATAGTAGTAGTTATTAAATAAGAATCCAGATAATAATTGCAGAGAAACTCATCAGTTATTCTCTCATTGCTACTGAAACAATTCTAACTCATAACAATCCTATAGGACAGCCCCTGTGGGTTTTTGAGACTTTAACTCTTTACAAGAGTAGAAAGCCTCATCTTTCTCCTGTGGAGCAGCTGGAGGTTTCGAACTGCTGACCTTGCAGTTAGCAGCACAATGTATCATCAATCCACTAACCCACCATAGCTCCTTTGTTATTTGCTAGCAGCAGCATTTTCATCTCTGTGAAATTTAGATATTAAGCTTACATGGCCAATATTGGAGTTCTGATGAGGGATTAAATGAGATAATCTATGTGAAAATGGCTTGGAAATTGGAAAAAACAAAATGTTTTCTTGGCTATTTTATGATATCACTTCTGGCCAGAAGCTTCCCTCAGCAAAAGAAAGGTAATGAAACCCCTTCTCTTCCATTCCCTAGACTTCATGCAAATGAAGCCAATTGAAGGCTTCAAAAGCATCATGAGACTTTCTTGGCCTGGGATTCTAATATTCATATACAGAACAGTTTCTATTAAAAATAAGAAAACCCAAAACCCAAGTACTAACCATTATCACTAGAGCTCCTTACACTAATTAGAAGTATATATTTTCATGCATGGAAGGAAGCCTTATCGATCATTTGGTCCATCTGCTATCTGAATGCATGTCATTTTGTTATGATCCTCAGTGGGCACTTGCATCCATTGTTTGAGCATTTTAGAGATAAAGGTTTTACAGTGTTACTATTAAGCAAGTTCTTGATATCAGAAGTGGGAGAAAGGCAAGGTTTTCCACTCCTTTAAACAGTCACGGTCTCAAGAACACGGGAGCAATTCTCTCATGGCCTACGTACAAGGTCACTATGAGCTGGAATCGAGCAGATGGTACGGAGAGGGCAGCTGTGACAGAGGTATTGGTCATATTGAAGTAAACCACCTCCATATAAACCCGATGTGATTATTGTGTTTCCACAACTGGATTAAATTTACAGGTTCTTTTGCCAAGTAGATCTTCAAGAGTTAAAACTAGCTCAATCTTCTGATTTCCCCAGGCCAAATCCTCCCTTACCTTAGGTATTCTTCATATGACCTAATTTCTAACTCCATATCCCCATCAATCAATACTCTTTTCAAAATAGGAGGCCTAGAATCGACCATAATTCCCAAGGTGGAGTGTTAAAACCAGGGGACCCTAGGACACCTCCTTCCTCTGTTGTGTCATCACATGTCTAGGAATGCACTAGATAAGTCATTAATGTTTTTGACAAATAACAGTCAGGTGCCGTCTCCAGTCAATCACTCTGCCACAGGCCTTCTGATCAGTCCACCTCTCTTGAGTGGACTCTCCCTGATGGGGATAGGGTATAGTTATCTGTGGCATGCCTGCTGCCCATTCAGTGGTCACCTTTTCTAAATACCCACACAGATTTTTCCCCCCCCAATCTCAAGTATATCCCTCTGTGGTTTCTAGAATTCACATGTTTCCTTCTCTATGAGATTAACATACTTACCCATCTGGAACTGAAGATTTTAACTCACTTAAGTTTTCTTATAACCTTCTGTTCTAATTCCAACTTCCATTTTCTCTCAGCAGTGTGTGTGAACTTTTCCAACACAGAGCGCTCACTTAGTTGGCAACGCAGAACAAACAAGAAGAGTGCCATCCCATTTAGTTGTCGTAGAATCATAGGACATTTGAGCTCGAAGAGACCTCAAGGGTTTGGACCGGTAATTCACATGTTAGGATGAGCAGCCCGCAAGCCTAGCGCATGACTCAAACTCACACACATTTGTCAGAGTCAGCACTAACCCCGAGAGATCTAAATTTCAGCTGCCACTGCTCCTTATTTTGCACACTATAATTATTTATGAGTGTGTGGTCATAAATTATATATATACATACATATACACATATACATATTTAGAATTTCTATCTCTGTTGAGTTGTAACACTTTAGAATTTCACATTATGGAGCTATACTTATCATCTCTTTGAATTTATGTTCTTATTTTCTTTGTTTATATTTTGGCGGGGAAGCACATTGTATAAAAATTGGTAGAAGTTGAATGCTTGACAACTTATTTTTTTAAACATTTATTAAGATTGTCCTAAATGCAAAGATTGATAAGATCGCAGCACTGTTAGCAAGTAAGAGAAAGAGAGAGATTTGAGAAAGGCAGTCATGGGCACGAAGGATACAAGCACATAACTATGTGTGGAATATGGCCAGGGTGAAAAATAAGTAGACGCCCCAGCCAGCGCTGCTGTGACCACAGTTCATGACCTGCTGAGCAGCTGGCACGCCACGTTCCTGTTTTATATCACATGTTGGCCTAGGAACCATACACTTGTAGGGATGGAATGACACCATAGGTAAGCACTTATTTGCAAACCAAAAGGTCAGCGGTTGGAATCCACCAAACTCTACTAGAGCACGATGGGGCTGTCCGCTGTCTTAAGGATGACAGCCTTGGACACCCTATGAGGGAGTTCTACCCTGCCCTTTGGGGCCCTATGAGTTGGGAAGTCAAAGACATTGGTCCTACAAGCTGCCCCTCAAGGTCACCATGAGTTGGAATACACTCAAAGGAATTGGGTTGGGGATACTTGGAGTACTTTAAAGAGTGCCCACCAGGTGGCAGAATTGTAACGTGTTGAGATTGATGAGCCTCTGCGGGGAACCTGATTTTTTTTTTGTTGCTATTATTGTTATTGCTTTAGCACATCTCAGAAACCAGTGTTTCCAAAACAGTACGATAGATCATCGTGTCCATAATTATAACATCCCTCACGACCATAGTCTCTTAAAGGAGGGAAATTGATCTTGCAATGACCCTGCCTTAAGAATTCCTTGTAATGACCTCCTTTGACAGAAACCTGGAGAGGTAGTGGCTTGTGTGTTGGGCTGCTAAGCCCCAGATCAGCAGTTCGAAACCACCAGCTGCTCTACAGGGGCTAGATGAGGCTTTAGGCTCTCGTAAACATTTGCAGCCTTGGGAACCCAAAGCAGCAGTCTACTCTGTCCTCTGGGTTACTGTGCGTCAGAACTGACTCACGAAAGCGAGCTTGGTGTAGCTCATTTGAAGACTCTCCCATCCCTCTGTGTCAGCTCAGCTGACTATAGAAAGTGCTGGCAGGGTCCTAATGGAAAGATCATTTTGTTCTGGTGAGAACATCTTACCTGGTCTCTGCACCATCTTACCTGTTCTCCTTCAAAATTTTAGAAGTAAGATGTTGGAAAGTCAGCTCCACCCTCAGAGGGGCCTGGGTAAGGAGTAAGGCTGATGGGAGAGGGATTCAAAAAGTTCGTGGAAAATGGAATGGAAAGATAACAGGGTTTTCTCCAAAACGTATGTGTGCCACCTCCTATGACAACCCTCACTGCCGTCAGGATGATGTGGCCTCTCAGGGACCCCGTGGCCACCTCTGTGGGTCCCAGGCTTTAACTCTCACAATTGGGAAGTGCAGTCTGTGTCCCTTGGAGAGGCTGGTGGTTTCAAACTGCGGGCCTTGTGGATCCCAGCCCCGCACGTAACCCCTGCGCCACCAGGGTTCCGCCTCCTTCTATTAACAGAGGCAATTCTGGGGAAACTTGCTAGCTTATCCGCACGTGTCCTAGTATGAGGCAGGTTTCCAAATATACTCAGGAAGATTTGGGGCGGAGTGGGGGCTCTCTTTAACCAAAGGGGGAGGGAGATCTAGATTTGAATCACAAAATTTTACCAGATTAAAGGCCAGAGAATTTAGTCCTGTATACATGATATGTACAAAAATCTGAAAAAGCTACATCTCTGTCCCTTTTCAACTATTGTTTTATAAAGAATGGTGGTCAGAATTTTATTAAAGAAATAGCCACAAGTCTATCCACCGCATTGCAAATCATAATAATAAACGCCTGCCTGTATGTTCTAAGATAAAAGTGAACACATCTGGTTCACTTACTGGTTTTGTTCTTTACTCTTTGTCTGCTAACTGGCGTGATTCGAGGGCCACCACTCTCTCCGTCCCCTTGGCCGGTTGAGAACACTAATCGGCCACTGTTGTCACCTGTTCCCAAGGCCAATCTGTTGTAGAACTGATGCAGGAAGTCCACTGTGTGGGGGGTTCCTGCTTCTTCCGTTTTTGTGGTTTTTTTAAGTGGGTGTTTCCTGTAATAACTTACATACACACACAAATCTTTACATAAACCACGTCCTTTTCTGGGCAGAGGTCTTCCAGAAAAGACTTCAGCAGGGCACTTTCCATCTGCATCTGACAGATTGTAATGGAGAACTGCGCAGCCCAGGATCCACTTGGGAAACTCCTGCCCTCTCAGAGAGCAAGCAATGAGATCACTGTTAAGGCGTGGGGCCACACAAAACGCTCCCCAGACAACGAGCTGCTAACAGTCACATGCCTATACTTTAAAGCTTCCACCACGATAATTTCTTAAATGATGTTAAGAATGCTATTGAATATTAACCTTTGTATATCATAACTTGGAGACCCTGCATGGTACACACAGTTAAAGTGAGGGATTGGTTGCAAACCCACAGGGTGAAAGTTGAGTCCAACCAGGATGCTTCCGGAGAAAGTCCTGGTGATCCACGCCCAAATATCCGCCATGGAAACAGAGGGGCAGTCTACCCTGATGCACACGAACTGCCAGTGCGGGAATTCACTCCAGAGCCATCATCTCATGTCCATTTGTCATAACTAGACTCACGAGCACCATGTTTACAATCATACGGACATCATGTGCTGGACATAATGATCTTTTAGGCTACGCATCATGATTCCCTAATCCCTCAACACCTGTTGATGGTTTTGGCCCCTCAGGTTTCCCAGCTGGGGATTTCAGAGATGTTTTGGCCACATTCTGCCCCTGTAGGCTTGTGTCTGGGAGGATTCTTAGAGACCTGCGCGGAGGCCGGGAGCTACTTATGTGCATTACGATGCCTCTCTGTGCAGGAACTGCCGTGAGAGATTTGTAAATGATCTCCGTTGTATTAATAGCAGCAGTGACTTCTGGGACACTAAGCACTCCCTCCATACCTTGTCCACCTCGGCTGGCTCCCTTTTGCAGGAAAAGACGCCACACGCTGGTTCCCAGGGCAGCCGCTCCACTCTCGGAGTGGGTAGCATTTTCCTGCCCCACCCTCTGGGTTTGTGCACATTTGTGCGGATTTCAGCCACAGTCGGCTTTTTATCACTGACCATATCCTGGGGAGAATGAAAGAACGAACTTCTGTGAAGATGAATTACACAGCATTTCAAAAATCTCCAAGCTGTGGCCGAGAACTCGGTGTGAGGAAGCTCAGGACAAAGGAGAAGGCGGCTTTCCCTGGCGGAGGAGGGAGGCCGGGTGCACCAGGGGCATCTCTGAAGGACACTGTGTGGGAAGCCAGCCGGGGGCTGGGGCGGAACCGCTGCCAATCCGCGCGCACCAGGGCAGTGGCCGCAAGCGCTGTTACACAGCACAGATCGCAGACGCCCAGGGGTCGCTCGTAGTGCACAGGTTATTTATTTTCTCATGAGCAGCATATTTTCACAAGACTTTTCTAAACAGCTCCTCTAGGAAGCTGCTTCTTGGTGAAGATAGGGAAGAGGGAGAAGACGTGAGGCTTTGGCCATTTAAACAGTGCCTTGATTATCTACTGAACGAAGTGGTGCAGTAGCAGATACATCCCACGTCACCGGGACTAGCTCGCTAATTTGCAGGGCCCGATGCAAAATGAACCTTCAGGGGCCTTTGTTCAAAAATGATTGAGAATGTCAAGATGGCGGCAGCAGGGCCTTACCCAAGTGTCTGCACAGGTAGCACGCCCAGGAAGCTGGCCCCAACCTCCCCCTCTCTCTCAGAAGCACCTTAGGATGCTGATCTTTGAACAGTGGCGGTTGAAATGGTGTATGATGGGTTACGTTTAAAAATGTACTCGGTTGCCTAGCAACTGGCTAAAGACCTGAAGGGGCTCCCTTGCAGGTTTAGATTCACCATCTTGAACATCTACATTCATGGAAGCCTTCTAGTGGACCCATAATTTTCAAGGGAAAGTAATATAACAGGGCACAGGCACGGGGAGGGCAAGAAGAAAAAGCTTTGTCTACCTTCATGATCTCCTGGGTGGCTGGCTTGTCCTTTTCCGTGCTGCAGCCTTCTAAAATGAAAGCTTCCTAAGGGAAGCTAGAATGGAAAGGAAATTCAAGTTTCCCCAGACATAAAAAGCAATGTTTTCCCGTAGGGGAAAAAAATGAAAACATGAATAAAACAAATGAAAATGTTAATGAACTAATTGAACACATCCATGGGGTGGTTCAAACGTACAGGCCAGCAGACGCACACTCCGCAGCCATTTCACAGTAAGTACCACACAGAGGTCCGGAAGAGTTCATGTTCGTTCTCCGACACAGGGGCTGAAATCAAGCCATACCTACAGAATGATTCAGCACCAGCATATTTCCCTTTTTAAAAGAAGAGAGTCTTGAGCCTCCTCTCTCTTTCTTTGGCATTTCCCAGGGTCCTTGTGCTGCAGAATCAGAACCAGCTCTTTTGCCGGGAAGTAAGCAGTTTGGCCTTTCAAAAAATAGTCACGTGGCGATTGCATTTGATGACACCAAGGTGAAGAACCGGTATGTATGATTCTGAGCTGTTAGGACCAAAGCTGGTAACTGGGAGTACTGAGCCTTTGCATGTAATCAAGCTTAATCAACGACATGTATTAATGAATGCGGGGTCTGGCTGCATGTGTGTGTGTTTTAATTCATCAAAATTCTATGTTTTTGAACCTGCGGAGCCCAGATTAGGCAATGAGCAGTCCTGGAGAGTCCTTGTTCCTGAGAAGGTGGGCTGCACTCCTCTGGAAATGCCCCTGGGCTCTGCCCTCCCTCTCTCATAGAAGAGCACTTTTGTCTTATTTTGCATGGTTTACTTTCACAGCCTCACAATTGAGTTTGAAGTGCGCACCGAAGCTGCGTCAGGATTGCTTTTCTATATGGCTCGGATCAATCATGCTGATTTTGCCACCGTCCAACTGAGAGAGGGACTGCCCTACTTCAGTTATGACTTGGGGAGTGGCGACACCAAAACCATGGTCCCCACCAGAATCAACGACGGCCAGTGGCACAAGGTATTAATGTCGCAGGTCATGGGCAGCACCCTCAGGGGCGGGCCCTGGGTCTGGGGGCAGGGGGTGGGGTGGGGGAGTGCCTGCACCTTCCCCTGATGCCAGTACTGATGGGCCAGGGCAGACCCTGCCTGTGGGGCTCTGGGAAAGCACATCCTTGGACAGGTTTCTCTAGAACTTCCTCCATTCCCCCTCATGGCACTTCCACCCTGTTACACAGCTGAGTTTGTCAAAAATCGGGCCCCAGGCCAGGGCCGGGCGTTGCTAGCACCGTTTGCTGTGCACGTAGCCGACAAGGCAGGTACTCATCCCTAAGCCCGTATTTCCTCCATGTAAAGGAAGAATGTATTCTGAGATCGTATTGCTCTACAATGGCCTTGCTTTTATGAGATCATGTTTGAGAAAATTAAAAGTTGCCAATCTAGAATGGGTCCTAAGAATTGCCCCCCAAGACTCAATCCCTACTGGCCTGTGAGTAGCAGGAGTCTGGAATCTCTGCTACGCCGTGTTTAAAGGGCTCCGGGGCACTGTTGTCCCCAACATTCATTTGGAACAACTGTAAAAACGCTGGCCTTACACCCAGAAGCTGGTATGATTATGGCCACCGAAGGCTCATTTGTCAGCTTATTGTCCTCTTTGGCGTGATTGCAAATAGATAATATACTGGCTGATTAAAATAAAATCTCTGAATCTGTCTCTGCACCTGTGGTAGACTATTAAGTAAAGCTTCCCAAAGTAGACCAATAAAATGTTTTAATTTTCTGACTAGGAAATCATTAGATGCTGGATCTGATATATTAGCATACGTCAACTTTTCATTATCAGAGAGAAAGCCAAAGAACCTCAAAATAAATAAAATAAAAATGCAAAGTCAACCGGTTTGTTATCACTGGAAATAAGAAATGAAAGATTCTCATTTGCTGGGGACCTTATCATTAGCAAATATCAATCCTGATGAAGGAGCTCTCGGTGTGCTGATTCTCACCACCAGCTCGCAGGATAATGTAGCACTTGAGGAAAAGCCATACTGGGGCTGGCATTCAAAGAAGGAAACGAAAATGCCAGACACGTTAACATGGGCCCTCGAGTCAGTTCCAACGGCCAGCGACCCCCGTGGAAACAGCAGGAAACACTGCCAGGTCCTGTGCGGCCCTCACAATTGTCAGGTCACTGTGTCAAGCCATCCGACAGCGTTTGGCCGCCAGTCCAGAGGCGTCGTACTCAGCCAGGGTTCCCCTGATATTCATAAAGTTCTCAGCGGCTAATTCCTCCGAAGTGCCCCGCCCCGCCCCGCCCCGCCCCGCCCCTTCCTCAGAGTCTGGTCCTAGTGGAGAAGCTCTACTGCCACCTCTTCTCCTTGAGTGACCCTGCTGGTGTTTGAGACACCAGGGACATAGCGTCCAGCATCACAGCCACACACGAGCCACCACAGCACGAGAAACCGAGAGACAGGTGGCAGAAAAGGCCACAATTAACCACAGTTTCAAAGGATTTTATTTTTGAAGGTTTATGCATGTAACTTCCCAAAGCAGAATAGCTGCAGTGACTCGTTAAAGTCACTGAGCCCTACTTTGACGCTGTGATCGAGAGCCATGGGTAAGTGATCCACAGGCGCTAGCACTTCACGGGCCTCCCCACTCCCTCTCCTCGTTTGGAGTCCTGGTTGTAAACTCAAGGCAGCCTCCCCTCCAGTAGAAGAACACTCGTCCAAGTGCCATCATTTCAGCTTCCGTCTGCTTCCCCTCCTCCCAGCAAGGTGCTCCTTGGCGACCACAGAATGGCAGTGCAGCCTGTGGGCACTGTTCTTCCTTCCTTCTGTAGAGAGGGGCATGGTGGGCAGAGGAATGTGGACTGGCTGATGCTGGGTTGACCCAGGTTTTGCTCAACCAAACAAATGCACTTTTAAAACTAGACATTTATTTTGCAGCCCAGTGAACGCACCAGTCTGCAGGGTTCTTCCCAAATGTCTGCTTCTCGACACAGATGCATGCTTGGCCGTCATCTGTCTCAAATATACCCAGGGAATTTTGATACGCTTTTAGAGACGATTATGAGGCGAGGAGGGCGGGATTTGAGAGTCTGTGACAGAGTCCTAATTCCACTTCTAAGATGGGCTAGCACACATTCTCCCCATCACTCAATCGGTTTCTACTCTTGGCAACCCTATAGGGCCCAGTAGAACTGCCCCTCGGGTTTCTGAAACTGTCGGTGAGAAAGCCTTGTCTTTCTCCCTGGGAGCAATGGGTGGTTTCAAACTTCTGGCCTTTCTATGAGCAGTCCAGTTTGTAAGCCTCTAAGCTCCTTTGCACGTGGGGAACAAAGGGTCAAAGTTATTTCTCTTGTTCTGGGGATATGATGGAAGTTCTTGTTCTACATTCCGTGTTTGAGAGGTGTTCAGAATTGTCACAGGTGGTTTGTCTTGTTGTTTTCATTGTAGATTAAGATCATGCGAGTTAAACAAGAAGGAATCCTTTATGTAGATAATGCCTCTAACAGAACCATCAGTCCCAAGAAAGCTGACATCCTGGATGTGGTGGGAATGCTGTATGTCGGGGGGCTACCCATCAACTACACTACCCGGAGAATCGGTCCAGTAAGTGGCTAAATGGTTTCCTTGGTACCTAAATAACTGGCAGAGTCATTGATGTATGAACAATGTTTTGAATTGTCAGGTCACAATTGCCCACAATAGACGAGCAAGAAAAGGATTTCACAGACAGACTTGACCTCCCTCCATCTTAACATCAGCTTCACTCTTGACTAGCTGTGGGAGTTTGAGCAAATGGCTTACCGGTACTTTTCTTTCAAAAGTTCCCTCACTCATAAAACTGGGTACTAAGGTTGTGTAGTGAGCTGCCACCCTGTTATCCCTCAACCCAGGGTGGTCCCCTGCACAACAGGATCCCATGCTGATGACCAAAAAGACTTCTCACTGGCTGGTTATCACCAGACGTCTCTTCCTGGTCCACCGTGGTCGGGAAACTGCCTAAGACGTAAGCCCCCACTGACCAAGACCTGGTAGCTGCACATAGGGTGCATCAGCCAGGAATCAAACCACAGTCTCCCACGTGAAGGGGAGAATCTGGAACAGACTCACCACCGAACAAATTGCGCCACTAGAAGGGAAATGCACGTAAAGCCCCTGAAACGGCTCGTCGTAGAGACAGCCAGGAAGCTGGGATGATGGCCTTGAGGTTCACGTGTCAGGACAAGAAGCTTAGCACGTCTCGGGTGATGCAATCTTTCGAGCACAGTTAGCTGTTCATTGAGGGATTCATAACATAAGAACCCCTCATGATTTTGTAAATCAAGTATGTGCCAAATAATCTCTTTCAAAACCGGGTGTGTGGGTTTGTTTTTGATATCATTGTTATCAAATGCGATCCTCTATTTCAGGGCATAAATTCGTGTTTTCAGAGAGCACCCCTCATATAAATGTGATGCATGTTTGCACTGAAATTAAAACACATGGTAATATATGTAGATTTGTTCATCCTGAAAAGACAATTGCCCATTACAGTGTGGCTCTCATTATTCCTCCTCTCGGTGATGATCAGAGTACTTCCCTTTCGCCAGAATTAGATGCCTGTCAAGGCTACGCACCTTCAAAGGAGAGAGCAAAGGGACAGACAGGTGTTCCCACAGCCAGGTGAAGTGCAGTGGAGCAGAATGTGGTAGATTGATGTAGAGAGCTCCTGAACCTCAGAGGTTCCATGCCAACCACCAAGTTTTATGTGTCTGTGCATTTTCTTAGGGGAGGCTCCACTGCTTTTATTAGATTTCCAAGAAGAGAAGCCCTGAACCAAACCTAATTAGTTTTTCATATAGAACAGAACATAGATTTTTTTTATTGTATATAGTTAGGTTAATAAGCTCTTAATAGAAACATGAACTCAGAAACCTAGAGACTAATGAACAGTTACGACAACCCAGTAGGACCTTGAAGGAATGGTGTGGAGGACAGGGGTGATTCCTACCTACAAGGCAGAGGTCAGGCATGCCACCATCCTCTAAATCCTTTACTCTGTTCTGAAGCCAACCTTCCTTCCCACAATACCCTGCCTCTCCACTGGATCCAGTAACCTGCTGTGATAGCTACAGAGAACTCACAGACAAGGCTCACAAGCGGGGCTTCTTAGGGAAGTTTGCAGCTGACATCAAGTCCAGATCTGGAAGCATTAACAATGCAGTCTGTCCTTTTGTCTGCACCAGTGCTTCTCGTCAGCCTTGTCAGCAGGCATGTCTCCCTCTCTGCTCCTTAATCTCGCAGCCACGCAGTCTCACCGCCTTTGCCCTGCTCGGGCAAGGGTTTAAAATAAAACACCAAACACAACCCAGTCCTACACCTTCCTCCCAAATCAGAGGCAGCATTATACTTCCAGATAGGTCATGAAATGCCCTTTATTATGATTATGATTTATTTATTTAAAGTGAAGATTTCTTATTATCTTGTAGCAATACTTTGTTTTTCCAAACCATTTTATTGGAAGATAATGCAAACATCATATCATTCCATAGTTTAATCACATCTAGCAGTATTGTACAATTGCTACCACATTGTTTCAAAACATGCCTGGCCTAGGGAACCATATCACTTTCTGATTCCAAATGGCCATACCTGCCCAACACCTAGGATGTTGATCCTTATACATTCCATTTTATTTTTAACAACTTCCAATTTTCCCAGATTCATGCTTCGTGCACTGAAAAAACTCCTTTAGTGATAATAAATCCCCAAGAGACACCCAGCCAAGCCAGCCTTCTGGCGGAAGGCACTCGGCTTCGCTGTTTCTATGGGTGAGGAACCCAGCATACCATCACCTTAGCTCCGTCCTCATGATCTCTCCTGTAGCCACTGCATCACCCAGGGATGCTAGACTACCATGGCTCTCCTGCCTGCTGGCCATGGCTTTTTTGGTCCTGCTTCTGAATAGCTCTCTTGATATCCAGTAGACTGGCAAAACTGACCAATCCCCGAGTTGGAGTCCTCCACACTTCATTTGCGTGCTGCCACCCCGGTGTCTGGTGGGAGTTCTGAAGAGTTCGAGTAGAAGAGCCATCCCAAGTCATTTCACTCCAGAGCAGGTCATTGATTTGTTGAGCCAGGAGCCCATTAGAGGACAGAGGAACCACCTAAAATCAAAATGATCATCTACATTATAATTGAGAGGTACAACTTAGGGATCTATCCACACAATGCTCTGAATCCTGAGGTGATAGCGCCAATGCTGATAACCTTTGAAGTTGCCCTTGACAACTGGCTAAGAAGTACCTGCATGGAGCTCCTTCTAAATGACTGTATTCCACATAAAGGCAGAGGTATGCTCAACCCTAATCCGTGCTTCCTCTAACTTGAACATTTAGGTGACCTACAGTATTGATGGCTGCATCAGGAATCTTCAGATGTCAGAGGCCCCCGTTGACCTTGAAAAGCCAACTTCCACCTTCAATGTTGGGACATGTTTTGCAAATGCTCAGAAGGGAACATATTTTGATGGAACTGGCTTTGCAACAGCAGGTGAAGTTCTTCCATTTCTTTCTGTTGAATATTAACCAGGTACAGAGATAAAACCTGTTGCTTTTAGCTGAAAGTAAGCCCCTGGAGTCCTAAATGAATCTCTTTTGTCTAAACCAAAATTGAAGCCCAAAAGAAAACATAACGAGGTTATAAAACATCTCTCTTAAAAATTAATGCATCTAATGCTGATAATAACTAATACAAACAATAGAGTCCAATGCTAATTGAAGAGTTTATTCACTCCATTTGTTTCCTTGGAAATCAATCATAAAGCCCGGGTAGCTCTGAAATTAGCTCTTCTGTTTACACGATGCAACTTTTATCTATTTTCCCATTTTCTCCTTCTACCTATCTGTCAATGAAATGCCATTTTTCTGTCCTCTGCTCCAGTGTTGTTCTAGACTCCATTTCTCCCCATCCCCAACAATGCACACCTGCTTGTACCGTCTCTTGTAGATGGGTGTGTTAGTCTGGGTAGACTAGAGAAGCAAATCCATGGACACACATATGTATATAAGGGAGAGGTTTATATACAAGAGGAATTAAACATTGAGAAAACATTCCAGGCCAGCCCAGTCCAAGGCCATAAGTCTGAAATTAGCTCATATATCTGATACCAATCTATAAAGTCCTCTTCAGACTCATGAAACACATACAATGAAGCCAAATGCAGGATGACCAGAAGCCAGTGGGTAGAAAGTCTTTGGGTCCAGTGGCGTTGTAAGCATCTCAGTGCTGGCAGGGGTCTCTCTGTGGCTTCTCTGGCTTCCGAGGTCTGGTTGGGTCCATGTGCCTTGTCTTCTGCAATGTCTGCCAGGGAGCTGAAAAATGAGATGAATCCACCTTTCCCAGACTGTCTTTACATATTCCCTCTTGCCATTGACTGCTTCTAGTACAAATCTAGATCACTGATAGTGAATATGCAATATGGACAAAAATATGAATTAACTTTCATATACTATTAAAATACACCAAACATTACCCTACTTTATGAAAGAACATTCACTCCTATAATTAGATAGGTGCATTTATTGTTCATTAAAAGTAATGAGCTTTTAATATGTACAAGTTATTATGGGAAACAAAAATAAGACATTTTTCCCTCCTTCAAGAATATATTTTCAAGGAGATATAGTCTATATACTGAGAATTCACAAGAAAAAATAAGAATGACCATTAACTATAAAAGACATTTGGAAAATTTTGGGGAATATTTTGAAGAAAGTTTAAATTCATTTGAGAAAATCAAAGAAATTTTTATGAAGGAAATAGTTTTCACGCTAGCATATGGAGATAAGTTTACACTCACATACAAAAGATATGGGGCGTGGCAAAGCAGGGTTCTTCAACACAGAAGAGGGATCAAAAACCTCACCTAAGCGGAAGCAGAAAAACACAGGATGGTTGTTTAAGCCCCCAAGTCTATGTGCCCAACACTTCTCCAAGATTTCTGCTGAGTTCACTGGGTTCATCTGATGGCAGGCTTCTCCCTTGCTGTCAGTGGGTTGCTTTGCCACGCTGCCTGGATGTGTTCAGGTCTGTGTATCTCACTGCAGACCAAAAATGAATCACTTTGCCAATTCATTTTTGTAAAGGTGAGGCTTTCTACTCCTGTAAAGAATTAACATCTCAGAAGCCCGTCAAGGGAAGCCATCCTGCCTAGAGGGTCATTGTGAGTCAGCATCGGCTCAATGGCAGTGATCATGGAGAAAAACACTGAAATGAATGAATTAGAGAAATATTTTAAAGCCCAAAATCTTCCTGTCCAAACAGTACTTTTAACCCTCTGTTTATAGCTACAGCTACTCCTCATTTACAGACGGTCTCCTTCTCTAGTACTGATAATATTAAAAACCTGCTCTCTGATTACTGTGGGCATTAGCAACGTGTGTCTGACAGTAGCAAGGTGCCGGGTGAGAGAAATGCTGCCTGTGATGCTGACGGCTCCCTGTCAGCGTGGCCGGGCGTGATTCTCAGCGACTTGGCAGTGGAGTGAAGCTGAGTAATGGGTCAGTTGTGGAATGTGTAGTTACCATTTTTTGTTGTGATCCCGTGTAGTCATCCTCCGTTTACATGGTGCCTATTTTCACATGCTGACCTGCTCTTGGGAACCTAACCATGTTGATACAAGAAAAATGGCTATAAAATATTAGAGAACTTTGAAATACTTTCCAAATCATTGTGGTGCCGTTTAGAATGTTTCTAGTAAAGTGTTTCTAGAGAATCACTGAAAAGCTTTACTTAATCCAGAAGCGTGACTTGTCCCCAATCTCGGTAGGAGTTCACTCATTCATGTATTCAACAAATCTATTAAACCTCTATGTACAAGGCGATGCTTAAAGCACCCAGAAAGATCTGTGGATGTAACTCACCAGCTGTTTCTTAGAAGAGGTGACAGTGTGCGTCCATCGAGGGGACAGCCTTGGGAACTCTAGGGGCTGTTCTACTCTGTCCAGTAGCATAGGACCATTGTGAAGCAAAACCAACTCAGCAGCAATGGTTTTTTCACTTTTGCTTTTTGAGGGGGTGGGGTTACTTTTCTATGTATCAGATAGAACATTTCTGGGTTGTTGGACAAGGCTTTCCCTCCACTACTAGCCAATCGGTAGGCAGTCCGAACTTACCCTGCAGTGCCATGGAGAGACTGGGAATTCTGTTTGACAATCTGAGCAGCCAGGGACATCTTTTGGAGTAGTCTCGTTCTGTAAAACATGGAATCGTCGTGAGTCAGCATCAACTTGGTAGCAACAGGGCTTTCTGTTGTTGTTAGGGTTATGATTCGGTTGATTGTTTCCACATGCCCCACTCTTTGGTAGACACTAGGAGTACATTGGTGGGTCAGATAGACAAAGTCCCTGCCCTCACAGAATCTACATGCCAAAAGTGAAAGTAGTTGAGAAAATAAGCACTAACCAATAAAGTTTGTTAAGTGATGTACTGTAAAAATCATATGGGAAATCTGCTTAATTCTTTAGCACAGCGGTTCTCAACCTGTGGGTCATGACCACTTTGGGGGTCGAATGACCCTTTCACAGGGGTCGCTTGACTAATAACAGTAGCAAAATTACATTTAGGAAGTAGCAACAAAAGTAATTTTATGGTTGGGGGTCATCGCAGCATGAGGAACTGTATTAAGGGGTCACAGCATTAGGAAGGTTGAGAACCACTGCTTTAGCATATGAATTTATAATTGGTTAACATAGAACTTAAAATCTAATAAAACCTTTGCATTGTACAAATTAAAGTAATATTATTTAAACTAAGCTGTATTAAAGAAGAAAATCTTCATTTTGCAGTTGACGGATTCAAGGTGGGATTGGACCTTCTTGTCGAATTTGAATTCCGTACAACTAGGACCACTGGCGTTCTGCTGGGAATTAGCAGCCAAAAAATGGATGGAATGGGCATCGAAATCATTGATGAAAAGGTGAATGTCAGCAGTTCCAATATTTCTGTTTCAACTTATCACAACATCATTCACATGCTGAGAACCCTTTTCTTTTTAAATCATTTTATTGAGGCTCTTACAGCTCTGATCACATGAGAACTCTTATTTTGAACTATTCCGATTGAAGCGCCACTATAGTCTTAGTTTCCAGAATCCTGCACTGTATCCTTTTCATCCCTGTAGGTCATCTCAACCTGTATGTGGTTATAGCACAGTCATTCTGTGGAGCAGTGTTAACTTGAAAAATGGTCACTCCAAAACCAGCTGGTTGTGTTGGCTAATTCAAGAACAGATGGCTTGGATCTCAGCTCTTCTGACTGCTGTTATAGGAACGCTGTTACCCTCTTGGTGAAAACAGCTTATAAAACGGTTGATTCCAGTGAAGGAGAAGAGTTGTATTACACAAAATCAGTCTTTGCTTCGGACACTAGTGGAGACACCTCTCAGAAGCCACAGTCCCTAAGTGACATGATAGAGTTCCCCAATTCTTATTTTAAAAGCACCTTTAAATTTTTTGGAAAAAAAACACCATTACAAATTAGAGAAAAGTTGACTGCCTCACTCTCACTCTCTCATTCACTCACTGACTCACTCATTCCCTGTCTCACTCACTCACTGCCACTCACTCACTGCCTCACTCTCTCACTGCCTCACTCAGTGACTCTCACTCTCACTCTCTCACTCTGTCTCACTCTTGTGTCTCACTCTCACTGCCTCATTCACTAACTGCCACACTCTCTCAATGCCTCACTCTCTCACTGCCTCATTCTCATACTGCCTCATTCTCTCACTGCCTCATGCACTCACTAACTCACTGTCTCACTCCCTGCTTCACTCTCTCGCTGCCTCACTCACTCCCTGCCTCACTCACTCACTACCTCACTCACTCATTGCCTCACTGTCTCATTCACTCCCTGTCTCTCACTGCCTCACTCACTGACTCTCACTGTCTCATTCACTCACTGCCTCACTCAATCACTGTCTCACTCACTCACCCACTCACTCACTGTCTCACTCTCTCACTGTCTCACTCACTCCCTGTCTCAATCTCTCACTGCCTCACTGTCTCACTCACTCCTTGTCTCACTCACTCACTGCCTCATTTACACTCACTCACTGCTTCACTCTCTCACTGCCTCACTCAATGACTCACTCTCTCACTGCCTCATGCACTCACTGACTCACTGTCTCACTCACTGCCTCACTCTCACTCTCTCACTGTCTCACTCACTCCCTGTCTTACCCACTCCCTGCCTCACTGTCTCATTCACTGACTTGCTGTCTCATTCACTCCCTGCCTCACTCACTCACTGATTCGCTGTCTCATTCACTCACTGTCTCACTCACTCCCTGTCTCACTCACTCACTGCCTCACTGTCTCATTCACTCCTGTCTCATTCTCCCACTGCCTCACTCTCTCACTGCCTCATGCACTCACTAACTCACTGTCTCACTCACTGCCTCACTCTCTCACTGTTTCACTCACTCCCTGTCTCACTCACTCACTGCCTCACTCACACTCACTCACTGCCTCACTCTCTCACTGCCTCACTCAGTGACTCAGTCTCACTCACTCACTCTCTGTCTCTCTCACTCCCTGCATCACTCACTCACTGCCTCACTCTCACTCTCTCACTCCCTGTTTCACCATCTCACTCCCTGCCTCACTCACTCACTGCCTCATTCACCCCCTGTCTCACTCTCTCACTGCCTCACTCTCTCACTGCCTCAATCAGTGACTCACTCTCACTCTCTCACTCTCTGTCTCACTCTTACTGCCTCACTGTCTCACTGCCATAATCTCTCACTGCCTTGCTCACTCACAGCCTCGCTCTGTCACTGCCTCACTCACTCACTGTCTCACTAAGTGACTCAGTCTCACTTGCTCACTCTGTGTCTCACTCTCTCACTGCCTCACTCTCTCACTGCCTCACATTCTCACTGCCTCATGCACTCACTGACTCACTCTCACCCTCTCACTGTCTCACTCACTCACTGCCTCATTCACACTCAGTCACTGCCTCACTCTATCACTGCCTCACTCACTGACTCAGTCTCACTTGCTCACTCTGTATCTCACTCTCTCCCTGCCTCACTCTCTCACTGCCTCACTCTCACTATCTCATTGACTCACTCTCACCCTCTCCCTGTCTCACTTACTCCCTCTCTCACTGCCTCACACTTTCACTGCCTCACTCACTCACTGCTTCACTCACTCACTTTCTCATTCAGTGATTCTCACTGTCTCACTCACTCCCTGCATCCCTCACTCACTGCCTAACTCTCACTCTCTCACTCACTGCCTCACTCACTGACTGTCTCACTCTAGCTCTCTCACTGTCTCACTCACTCCCTGCCTCACTCACACTCACTCACTGCCTCACTCAGTGACTCAGTCTCACTTGCTCCCTCTCTGTCTCACTGACTCCTTGCCTCATTCTCTCACTGCTTCACTCTCTCACTGCCTCACTCAGTGACCCACTCACTCACTGCCTCATG